TTTAACTTACTGAGTCAGAAAAAAAGAAGACATTTTCTGTATCCAAGTCTCTTAGAATTAAGTTCAACCAAAGTGTACAAATTTCTTGCTAATGGTGTCCAAGTGTTGCCTTTGGATGATTCTAGGTCTTCAAGCCTTCTGGGGTCACCTTTTCATCTGATACTCAAACCAAGTTCTGAATAAACTGAGCTCCTATTCTTCATTCTGTTGGGAAGTCTGTCTTTCCTAATGTCTCCACATACTTGAACAAGGGTTACATGTCTCCTGATTTCCTTTTACTCTTATTTATTACTCTCCTATGTTTTTGAGTCTCACCTTGTATCTTTGCCTCCTTTCTTTTTTGTCCTCCCATGGCCCAATACCTTCATCACTCAAAGCACCATCAATGCCAGGCTTTTGTACAATGACCTTTTACTGAAGGCATAACAGAAAGCATCATCTTAAAATTTGATACACTCCATCCATGTCCCAAAGTTCCTTTGCTGCACCTAACAGGGATTTCTCACTTGCTTGCCCCCTCCCATGATGTGCCTTTCCTCCTCCTGAGAGACTTCTCCCATTTCTTTCTCTTCAGATTTCAACTTTCTTCCAACACCCCCAACTTTTAAGCTGACAGAAGACAACTTCCAATTTCCTACCACGTTATTATGAAGAATATTTTGGTTCTCTGTTATAGTCCTCTCATTCTAAACCATACCTAGCAGAGTCTTTAGACTTTATAAATTTTTTAAAAAAGCCATTCTAGCTTGTTTTTTAAAGCAAAATAATCATGTACTTCTGAGATGAGTGTCTCTTTCCCAGGATGACAGTTTGTTTCTTTTTTTACACTCTTTTTATTTTCCTATTATACTGTTATCACGCTCTGGCAGATTTACGAAGTCCTTAAAAACTAAATATATATGGAACTATAAAAATTACAGTGGAGAATAATATAAATACAAAACCATGATGTGGTTCTTTAAGTAATGCTAATAATGGGGTGTCTGGGTGGCTTAGTTGTTAGGTGTCTGCCTTCGGCTCAGGTCATAATCCCAGGGTCCTGGGATCAAAGCTGCATGGAGCACCAAATCAGGCTCCCTGCTTGGTGGGAAGCCTGCTTCTTCCTTTCCCACTCCCCCTGCTTGTGTTCCCTCTATCACTGTTTCTCTCTCTGTCAAATAAATAAGTAAAATCTTTATAATAAATGAATAAACAAATAAGCTAATAAAAATATTGATAAATTCAAGTCCTAAGTGACTTGTAAAAACAAACAACTTTCAGTTTTTCAAGGTTTTGTGTCTTAGAATTGTGTATATTTAGAGGCTGAATTGCTTTGTTTACTCACCAATATTTGTGTAGAAGCCAGAATTATGTCACAACACACACACAAAGACACACAGATATAGACATAAATGTCCTATCTTATAGGAGGTAGTGAACTATTCTTATTAAGACTTAGGAAGATTCTATAGGTGCTTATAATTTAGGAACTTCTCCAATTCATTTAATGAGTTATCAACCTGTATTATCAAGTTGAAAATACACTGAAACAGTGTTTTTCAAACTTTGGTATGCATAGCAATCACCATGATTGCTTGTTAAATGCAAATTCCTTCTCCCCAATGAATCTGTGTCTGATACCTGGTGTGGAGAGTAAGGAGTTCACATTTGTGTAAGCTCTCCAGGTATGTTCTAATAAATATGACCAAACTCCTTTTCTAAGAATATGGGTGGGCAAAGTGGAAAATTTAACAAGATGATTCATGTTACTTAAATTCCAACCACCAAGTGCGGTTGTACCTTCCGACTCTGTTGACCTTTTTCTGACAACATAATGACTCATTTAATGAACATAAACATCAGGTTCTAGTAGTTCTTGTTGAGATACTAATTATATATTTTTAAAGTATACTAAAATATATATAATAATGATTTCTAGTGCTTACATAGGGTTTTAAATTAAAAAACACTTTAACATATATCTTTTCTTTTTACTGCATCCCAAACAATGGGGTTGATAAAATAATTTAAGATAAGTGAATTCTATAGCTCTCCCAATAGGCCAACAAGTCTAAAAGAGTACCACCGACAAACAAACTGCTCTAAAGTCACCTTACAGCCTCATTTTAAAACCCAGGTAATATATCTGGTTTATTTAAAGCTCTTCAGAAAAAAAAAAAAGGTTAACCTTGAAAAAGTCAGGGTCTCTGTGCTAGGTTGGGCTTTAATCATGACAATTCGTGCAAAAGAGGCAGGTTTGGAAGAGCTGCTGCTCCTGGGGTGTTCCAGTAAAGGCATCACTTGAGAAAGGGAGTTTGAAAAAGTCTAGACTTTTTGTTAAAACTTCCTACTGTGCTATAGACAAGTCTCCCCTTTCCATCAGGTCAACCTTCATTTATCCCTCAAATTTCAGTCTGTAGATATTTTGTCAGAGGTTACTATGACCCTTCAGTCTTAAAATAAAGCCCCCTTTTTTTGATCCTTTCTATCCTTCATTGCATTTATCACAATTGTAATTATAAAATTTTTGTGTGGTTAATTATTTAATAGAATGTGAATTACTCAAACATAGGCATCATGTTTTATTAACTATTCTTATGTTAAAGCCCTAGTCCTGTGGTCTGGCATAGAGGGAAACCTAATTCATACTTGCTGAATGAATGAATGAATGAATGAAGAGTAGGAAAATGTCTGATCAGAAAAGGTCTCAGTGTCTTGTATTGACAGGCCTCAGAATACACAAGAAAATTGTCTTTGTTGTATGAGAGATAGGCTGGGAAGCTAGAACAGTTTTTGAAAGTGCAATGTTGGGACGTCCCAATCAATTCACTACATGAATGTAGGTGGACAGAATTTGAGACTGCAAAGTTAGCTGAGAAAATGCTGACTAAGGAATACTAGAAGCATAAAATAAAATTGCAGTTTACTTTAACTGCCTTGTATTCTGTACCTGCTTCATAGATAGAATGTGTGCACTAAAACTTTTGACACTTAATCTGAAATGCTGGAGACTAGAGTGCGGAGAGTGGCTTGGTGGGGGAGTCCATATGTACACACCAGCAGGACACTAATGACAAAAGGAGAGTTCAGGGGGAATCAGAAACAAAGTTGACTCTCAGATCTATAGACAAAATTGTGATTAGATTAAGAAGTAATGTATGAATCAAGGATAATTGATTCTTCCTCCAAAAGATACCATCTTTTAAAGTATCTAGAAGGTCTTAGTGATACTGTTACAAGTAGTTGATTTTAAAAGAACCATATATTTATTTGTACAAAGAGAAAGCAGAGTGAAAACATGTTAACATCTTGCATTATGTCTGGGGAAGATATGAATGAAACTGTAATATCAAAACCAAGGGAAATGAGAAGATATGCATGGAGAAGTAAGTCAAAGCCATGAAAATGGAATGTTTTATAATATTATAAGAATGATGTACTAACTACTACACTGCACTGAAACAACTGAAGTGGTTTAAGGCAGATAGTCACCATCCTAAGTTTTTTTTGTTGTTGTTTTGTTTTTGTTTTTGTTTTTTTTTTTGGTCCTTTTGTATATCGCTTACATCGAAACTCTACCAGGGAAAAAGTAGGTAGTTTCAATCTCTTCTTGAAACTTAGGCATGGGTGAGGAATTGGTATTAGGGGACAGGTTTGGGATTCAGATGCACCCTATTTTTCTGAAAAAGGGCTACCCTGCATTTGACTGATGACTTCTTGTTCCTAAATGATTAATTCATTTGGATATTCAAAGGGCAATCTCTTGGTGTTCATTACACATGCTAAATCTGAGAGCATTGGCAGAAAGCATTAGGAATCTGCTGGCTTCTTTGCAAGCCTCTGGTACTGTCTGCAACAGTACCATTCACTCAAACTGGGTGTTAAGTTTTCAGATCTCAAATATTAAGAAGTATGCGACCCCAAGGTAAATTTTTCAACATATTTGGGTTCAACAAGTGATAGTCTGGTAGTTCCCAAAACAATTGGGGGTGAAACTTGCCAGGTTAGCATCTTAGGTCTATCACTTTGTGTCTTATGACTTTGAAAAGTAGCTTAAATTCTGTGTTAATATTGCAGAACTATAAAATATGGTAGTAGTAATGTTGTTATGAGTATTGATATGAGTTAATTATGTAATTTGCTTTTATGAGTGTCTGGCACTAATAAGAATTAAGTAAGTGAAAGCTTTTATTATTATTATTCTGTATTAGTAGGTATGTGTAATCGCATATTAATGATTGAAGAAATGAAATAAAAAGTTGAGAAAAAAAAAAATCCTGCAATTTTATAGCATGCTCCTCTAACACTTGGAATTCTTTTTCAGGTGAGAAAGAAAATTTGTTCCCTAACTCTGTTTCTCTCTCTCTTTGGTCTTGTTGCCTACTCTTCATCTCTAGATCTGTTCTTTCGGACAAGTCTCCACCTTATGTCGATACAATTTAACTGTAACATAGCTCAAAAAAAATTTTTTTTCTCGTCCATACCTCATGACATCTTGATGATTTTACTTATGATTAAAAACCTGCAGTTAAATTCAGCTGTCTTCCAAATTTTCATCAGTATAGACTGTACCTTATATTTATAGATGTAAAGCTTGATCTAATACATGAAGATTTCTAGGATCAGAAGCAGTATCTGGAGCCACTGTGTACATTTCTTATTTTTTTTTCCAGTTTGTTGCCCTTTACATTGTTTTGGGTTGATTTTTATGCTCTCTTAACAGGTATACTATAGAAAAGAGTCAAGAAATTATTTTCCAACATAAAGCCAAAGTTTTTACCTATATAAGCAGAAAACAGAACTTGAAACACATTACATGTGCAATCTAATTAATGATACCTATGCATCTCTTCTTTCACCTGAGTGACACCCAAGCAAAATCTCCAAATAAGCTTTTTTTTTTTTTCTTCTGCAGGGATCGATACTTTTAGATTTGGATCAAAGTATACCAAAGTTCAGATCACTCTCTCTTTGTTTTTTTTTTTTTTTTGTTTGTTTTTTGTTTCCCCCCCCCCCTACAGTTTATTGCTTTTGCTTCTTTATTCTTCATCCTGGTTTCAATCACAACCTTTTGCCTGGAGACACATGAAGCTTTCAATATTGTTAAAAACAAGACAGAACCAGTCATCAATGGCACAAGTGTTGTTCTGCAATATGAAATCGAAACGGATCCTGCCTTGACGTATGTAGAAGGAGTGTGTGTGGTGTGGTTTACTTTTGAATTTCTAGTCCGTATCATTTTTTCCCCTAATAAACTTGAATTCATCAAAAATCTCTTGAATATCATTGACTTTGTGGCCATCCTACCCTTCTACTTAGAGGTGGGACTCAGTGGGCTGTCATCCAAAGCTGCTAAAGATGTCCTTGGCTTCCTCAGGGTGGTAAGATTTGTGAGGATCCTGAGAATCTTCAAGCTCACCCGCCATTTTGTAGGTCTGAGGGTGCTTGGACACACACTTCGAGCTAGTACTAATGAATTTTTGCTGCTGATAATCTTCCTGGCTCTAGGAGTTTTGATATTTGCTACTATGATCTACTATGCCGAGAGAGTAGGAGCTCAACCTAACGACCCTTCAGCTAGTGAGCACACGCAGTTTAAAAACATTCCAATTGGCTTCTGGTGGGCTGTAGTGACCATGACTACCTTGGGCTATGGGGATATGTACCCCCAAACATGGTCAGGGATGCTGGTGGGAGCCCTATGTGCTCTGGCTGGAGTGCTGACAATAGCCATGCCAGTGCCTGTCATTGTCAACAACTTTGGAATGTACTACTCCTTGGCAATGGCGAAGCAGAAACTTCCAAGAAAAAGAAAGAAGCACATCCCTCCTGCCCCTCAGGCAAGCTCACCTACTTTTTGCAAGACAGAATTAAATATGGCCTGCAATAGCACACAGGGTGACGCGTGTCTGGGCAAAGACAATCGGCTTCTGGAACATAACAGATCAGGTAAGGCACAATTTCAAATGCATGCCATTAACCACTTTATAGACCAGTATGTCCCTCAGGTAGAAGGCAACCATTTTCATTGTCTGCAAACATTCCTGAGTTTTCAGTTTTACCCTTTCACAATACACGTGTTTGTGTCAGGCTTGTAGACAGTTAGCCTGTAGCTTTTCTTAGTAGATTCCAAGTAGAAGCCTGTGTAGCTGGTCTATAGAGTTTTCCTGCTTTAGTGGGAATGCCCTTTGCTGATGGTGCCAATATTTTCTTTTGCCCGTTTGTTGCTTTTGTGCCAATGTTTCTTTGTTTCCCTGCACGGTGTGATGGTATGATACTGGCCATTTTCCATTTTTCATTCTCAAAATGTTGATTTCCTTATCATTTGGCTTGGTGTGTTTGTCTCAGTTTTATCTCTGCCACATGGGGCCATGCATCTCAACCTATTTCACAAGAAGCAGTTATTTAAAAAGAATGGATGCTTATATTTCAATAGACTGAACACCAAAAAGGTGATATGGAAGATCATAATCTTTGATAATAAAAGTCATCCCTAGTAATATTCTAGAGGATTGATTACATTTTTATTACTGTTAACTTAGGTAGGATATTCAGTATAATCCTTTTAGATTGGGTAAGATGCTATGTAATATAATAAATCTACCATTATCCTGGAGGTAGATGATCTGCTTTGTCTAACCAATGGCAAAGCTGAAATTCCTTGAGGATTTCCTTTTTTATGCACTATACATTGGGTTCTGTTTCCCTCCGAAACTGAATTTTGGGTGATTTACTGATGAATCCCTACCCCCTCCATTGCCATAGATAATCTAGAAGACATTGACTGTAAATTAATATTCATTTTGCCAAAATGATAGTAATGTGTTCTCTATTTTATCTGGTACAGATTAAACATTTTATAGATTAAACAATTTAATTATGTTTCAGCCCACTATGAAAATTTAAGATATGTGCTTTCCCTATAACTTAGATATATTTAATCTTTTTCTGTAGAAAAATGATTCATGATAATCCCAAGTGAATACTTTTGCATAACATAGAAAAAACACCAATTGCACAAAGCAAGCAAACAAACAAAAATGGCAGGTAACATGTTCATTCATTAGTTTCCAGAAGTTTATATGAAGTAAAAGGGGAAAAATTGTGGCTGGAACTAAACTTCTTCTTAAAGATTTTATTCATAAAGATCCTTATGCTTATTTAGTACATTGTTCTGCAAATTCTGTCAATATATCTGAAAACTATCAGGCAAAAAACGTCTTTATTAAAGGTGGAGTTTAGTTGGTGTCACTAGTCTCATTGGTGATCGCAGAGTACCTGTGCAGAGTACTTATGAAGGGCATGAGAAACAGGACAGACACACTCTCAGCCTGGATAAATATTGTTATAACAAGCTAGCATCTAGGCCAATTAGATGCAGATGTCTTTGGCAAGCCTATAGAAGTAAACAGTTGTTTCAAGGGCATTTGGAGAAGTTACTCTTATTCCATTGTTATGCTCAAAAACATCTTTTTTTTTTTCACTTGAAAATGGAGAACCTGGACACAAAGTGAGTTTGGGGATTACTTTTATTAAGATTTTTTTTTTTTGAAAGTTACTTTCTGCAAATATTATAAGCATGTGTCTTAAAGAACTCCAAAACCACATAGGTACCTAACAGTTTTTCCTTAAATAGATTCCACTTTTAAAGATTCTTATTCACAATAACTAGATAGCATGTCAAAAATCATATGATATTAATGTGTGTGCTACATCATTATCACACTTATTTTGAATTCATATTCTGTAAAAGTCCATTTCCTATTAGATAGAATCCGAAATGGAATTAAAACTTCCCAAAGAACATTTCTCTCCTTTTCAATACATTTCCATTTTGCTCCATGTAAATTTTTGTAGAGTGATGAAAACCCTTTTTCTTATCATGATGTGATTATTGTGTTTTGTATATCGAGTGACTGTACTATGGACATTCAGTGTAAACTCTTTGTACTGTCTCATTTCCTCATCCATCACTGTCTGTCAATGGGCATGGTGCTGTGACCAGTGTTATCAGGTGACGACAGTACAGGAAGTGAGCCGCCATTATCACCCCCAGAAAGGCTCCCCATCAGACGCTCTAGTACCAGAGACAAAAACAGAAGAGGGGAAACATGTTTCCTACTGACGACAGGTGATTACACGTGTGCTTCTGATGGAGGGATCAGGAAAGGTAGGCATGCATTTAATCAGATCCTAACAGGTGACTTAGAAATTAAGTGCTGCAAATATATGGAGTGATATAAATGCTCTTTCATCATTTTGTAGGAAAGACTGCACGTAGTGTTCTCTTGCATTCCTCATCACCTCTTTTCTCATTATAAACATTTAAGTGCATATCATAACAGCTTACTTGATTGTCCTATCTGAAAGGCATTTCACCCTTCTTTCTTTCTTTATATTTTTGGTTTCCATTAGTCTATGGGAAGAATTGTAATGGGGTATTTAAAAATTAAGTCACTCAGCTAATTAATATAATGTACTCAACAGTTTTTAAACAGTTTTCAACTACACGTAATAAAACTCACTAATTGGGTCTATGCATATATTTGATAAGTAATTGATAAAACAACAAGGATTTTTTTTTTCCAAAGAAAAGCTTTAAACACACTGTAGTTAAGTCTCTTATCTAATATTTGGGCAGTCTTGCCATGATTCATCTCAATGTCAGAAGGTCAAAAAGATCCAACATCCTTGGCCATATAGAATAGTATATGCCACCACTTGAAAGGCTACTTATGTACTTAAAAATTGTGCTACAGAATTTCTTTTTGAGGCAATAATAATACTTTTATGTTTGTTACTATTTTCAACCCAAACTAAACTGTGCTTGGCACACAGAAGACACTCAATAATTATTTGTCGAATGAATAAATTTGGTTGGGCAGGCATTTTGGTTAGGAAATATAACAGAATATTGAAGCTCTACTCCATTATGTCCTTCCAATTTTCTAGATGATACCACCATCTATGACTATTCCCCAGGAACTGTTTTTTGTTTTTGTTTTGCGTAAACTTGACAGATCTCAGGACAATTCTCCCTCCTTAAGAAATAGTTTTGTGATGTCTGTTACCCACTCTTGTCCAAGGGCTGATATGCTCTTTGATTACCTCCTACTTTGATAATTCCAGTTGCTTTATTGCCATGGCTCTCTTTCTCTGCTTATTGACTGAATAGAGAAAGAACTATAATAATTTCTTATGTAATGGACTGAATTTTAATGAAAAGCCGGTCTAAACTTTCATACTAGTGCAACTGCATTTAAAAAATACTGCACTTTTTTGCTATTCATTGCATTTTCTTCCTATTGAATACTTTAACATTTTAAGCCTTAAATATTTATTTTGTGATGTCTTCTCTCTTTGAAATGTCTCATTACCCATATTGTACTTCTCTTTCATTACTTCTGAACACTTTGTATTGTCCTTTCTGTCTCCATGGCTTTGAGTCTCAAAGGAGAAGACAGACTCTTCTTTTATTTCTTCAGTATGTAATATTTTACATACTTCTTCATTTCAATTACTTCCATTTCTCTGCATCTATTATTTGCACCAAAATGTATTTCAATGATCTGAATAGGTCTATTTGGTTGTTTGCCATTCTACATTTAAATATTAAGTGCTAGAACAATTTCTAAAATATTTTATGAAGATAGTGTACTATCATAGTACTTAAGCAAAATATATATACATATATTAAATGATGATTATAATATGTAACTAACAATTTCTTGTATAGAACATTATATTTTAAGTGCATTACATATCTTTACTCACTATATGTATATATATGCATATATTTGTATATATGCATATACATGCATATATTTGTATATATGTATATATGTATTTATATGTAATATGTGGTTACATTCACATACATTTTTGAGCATCACTTAATAAATGGTCACATGCAATATTTATACTAGCATTGCTTGTTTAAGAACTTAGCTAAAATTTTTTCCTTCCACTCTTAGACAATACTTTGGATTTTAAACTGTCAAAGGAGATCACATAAGAAAAAATACTTTGCAAATTATAAACCACTATGTAAATATAGAATTTTTCTGTAAAATGGCAATGTTTCATGAGCAAAGCAATTAATAAGATACCTAGTTTGTATGGAAAGGTTATACATGAAATCTTATTTCACAAATGCAAAATTCTCTTTATCAATGAGCACATCTTTGAAAATTCATCTATGGGCTTTTATTCTTTGTCATTTCTCACCACAATCAACTTCCTTCTTCATTCTTGCTTAGTTTCTTTACACCTTGTGTTTTTTTTTCTCTCAGGCTTTGTAGTATTTTTGGTTAATTTCACTTAATTTTCTTAATTTTTCTTAGTGTGTTGTCTTGTTATGTTTATCAAGAACCCATTCATTTCTTCTCTTGTTCCTTTTTATGTAGATTATAGATTTCTCCTACTATTCTTATTCAGAACATTTATTTGCTATATGATCCCTTTTTTTTCTTTCAAGTTGGTCTCACTACTGATTTTTAGACTTCTGAAAATTCTCCTCTATATAGATGAAAAGAAAGGACTAGATTCCCACTGAATTCTTTTTCTATCAACAAATATGAATATAGATGGGCGTACATTAAGAAAATTTATGGATCCTCTATGAAAGTGAAGTCTCAATACTTAGAACCTATGTTTTTTATTTATGCAGTAGTTTTTAGGAAATCATCTTTCATACACAAAAACATGCCCATTGATAATGCATGGCTAAGCAGTTTCAGTATTGCCCCAAATAAACATATGCTCTTAAGAACCATACAAAATGCACACCATATATTTAGATGCCAATTCCAACTAGGTTCAATATTGTGTATCTTCATGAATCATATTTTTAACCATTCCAGTCAATAAAAGTTTGCTTAAGCAAAAACCTTATCTAATTTTCTATCACAAATGAACCTGCAGAAAAAAAATATACATACTTAAAAGAATAACATAATTTTACTAATTAAATACTTGTTATTAAATTATAAGAGAAGTCTTTTCAAATGAACACTGAAATTGTAGTTATTAAAAGTAAAAGGACTTGTAAACAGAATGGGTAATATTTATGTTGAAAACTGTAATTCAGAAAAATAATTGAACATTTAGAATGGCAACCAAAATTTACATATAACTAGTGTCATTAATAGAAAACTTTTGCCTTTTTGGAGGTCCCATCGGGAGCTTGGAAGTTGTGGGAGACCAGATGTAAATTTTTTTTTTAAAGACTTTATTTTTCCCAGATGTAAATTTTTATAAGGATGAATGATTTATAGGTGTTAACACCTCTCTAGTCCATGCATATTCACCAGTTTGCTTTTAATCAAACCAAATCAATGTTTATAGTGTAGTTTGCATTTTTAGATCACATGGCCAACCATGATAAATTATTCTTCCTATAATTCCCCAAGTTATATTTCCAGTCACTTTAGAGAACAGCAGTAACAACTAGCTTTCCAGCCACACAGAGGTCCCCATGTAAGGATAAATTATCTGCAATTCTTTTTTAATTATTTAAGACATCCCCTTATTAAGAATTCCATCACCTATTGGAATAGGATGAAATATATATCACCTCCCATGTTTTATATCTCCGAATGCTAACAAAACATATTGGCAGATAATTCTCTTGTTAGCAGAAATTATGTCCTAGAGAACTTCACCACACTTAATGGGTGGCATAACTTTCCATCAACAAAATCTCAGAGAAGACATCTAGTGTGATGAAAGTTTATGTATGTGTATGGGGAAGGATGTTCCTACTCAAAGCTGCTTCACCCCACAGTAGAGCAGTTATTGCAATCCATGTCCATACTTGTCCTGGGTGCTGATAAATCAAATAATCACTAACTCGCTTAATTTCTCCTTTTCTAGTGAAAGGAGAAGAGATGGTAGTAGCTTCTTCCCCAGAAGTCCATGAAAATACAGAATTAGAAAAAGAAGTATTTTGAGAGGAACATGGGAAAGCACAAAAGGCCCATTTTCTTTCTCATATAGTGATCATGCCCACTGAGGGCCAATTAGAGTCCAAGGAATGAGCCCTAAATCTAAGGGATAACAAAGTTCACTGAAATTGTATGTACTTGCTCGGATTTGACTGTCCAGCAGAGAATTTCATTTCCTTGTTCTACAATACTTTTTTTCAGTAGACCGGTCAGACAGAACATTTATTTCCTGACTGCTTTTTCAGCCAATAGTGTTCCTGCTCTAAAGACAGTTCACTTCGAACTTTACAGTGTGCCACCCCCCACCACCTAATCCCCTCTAATCTTTTCTAATAAATAGTACCACAATATCTGAGTCCTTCCAAGGTGACCTTGATGAGAATGTTGCTTGAGTAGCTAAGGAAAACCACTGGGTTAAAGCTTGTGAGATATATCTTTTATCCTGTATGTCCATGACTATCACACATGAATAATTAGAATGTGAGATGATAGAAAGAAAAAGTGAATCAAGATCAAATGGTTCTCAATTCCCGGCAGTGGAGAGCCAACTGAAAACATCAGATAACCAAGTTCTGATCGTAAATTCACTGAAATTATGACTTAACTTATATTTCATTTCATTTCTTTTTTTTTCCCTTTCCTTTTTTTCCTTTTTTAATCCAAGGAGCTAGAAATGAGCACGCATTCCATATCGCCTAGATAATGGCATCCAATGTCATTATTTAAGAATCATCCTTTTAACACTATAAAGCTGGAAGATTAAATATGCTCAGAAAAAAGCCATCCACTTAAACTTAATCCTGCTTATTAGCTTAGTAAATAATAAAAAATGATAAGAAAAAAAACCATTTTCTTTCAGAAACATATTCTGAAATGTATGAATATTAGCCACATTTGTATCTTACTTAAGTTGCTTTGCCTAATTCTTAAAAGATTTCTAGTATTTTATATGTCAAAATTACATCAATGCAAAATATAATCTGGGAAAGAATAAATTTTGAAGGATTACAACTATAATTTGTGATAGCTGGTTTAATCTTTTGGGAATGACAGCACTAGTGAGCTTTATTTACTTACTTTTTTTAAGTTACAAATGGTCTCAGTATTGAATTCTTTGTGAAAAAAAAAATTCTTCCTTGAACTCAAAATAGCACTTTTGATTATCCTGCATGGTATTGTTTGTCTGTGTCTATTTTCTGGTTGAATTCAACTGATGTCTGTGCATTTTTTCATAAAAGGATATGAAAAATCCCGAAGCTTAAACAACATAGCGGGCATGGCAGGCAATGCTCTGAGGCTCTCTCCAGTAACATCACCCTACAACTCTCCTTGTCCTCTGAGGCGCTCTCGATCTCCCATCCCATCTATTTTGTAAACCAAACTGCATCAGTCGGCTAAATTGTATGAATTCAAGTATTGTCTACCCCATAATGGAGATAATTAAGTGTAGAGTTACTCCAGGCTCCATTAAATACAGTTAAAATCCTGCATGATACCACTATTTGAAGTCAGAAATGTCACTTGGGTAGCTAACAAATCTTATCCTGGCTTTAAAGATTACCTAAAGTAGTGCTACTTCTCTGTATTCATTGCCCCGGTCTCCTTTCGCAATAAAATGACAGGTAGTGTCAGCTATTGGCCAGTACACGAATACATAAACATATCTTCAGGGAGATGTATTTAAAACAGTGTGCTTCCAAATGCCAATCACTTCATTGGAACTTCATTTCTCGTGACTCTAAACCATTTTGAAGATGTTTGGGATTCTATTTTGATTGCACACAACATGACTCTGGTCAGCTCATTTGCATGGACCATCTTGTCTCTATCACCTGAGAGCAATGTCACAGAGTTCGGGCACCGTGGATGGCTCGGGATATGTGTACTTGCGTCGAACCATCCGGCTGATACAGAAACACTGGTCAGCTATTCTGCATGTTGAATTGTGGGGCAGGGAGGGCGAGTTTCTCCTTGGCATTTTTTTTCCTTATTCTTTGAAAGAAATATTTGTTTTGATTAGTTTAATTTCTTGATTGATTTACTTTTCTTCAAAAATGCTGTATTGGAGTTCTGAATGTCTCTGGTTGTTTGCACACAGATAACTGCAAAGAGGTTGTCATTACTGGTTACACGCAAGCTGAGGCCAGATCTCTTACTTAATGGCTTGGGGAAGGCACAAAACATGAGAGAAAGGTAACTGCCAGCCAGGCTTGCATTGTTTAGCCAGGAATTGCTGCTTGGAACTAGAGTCATATCTATCTATCTATCTATCTATCTATCTATCTATATATTTTTTTAATCCCAGGATTTGTCATCATTTTCCGAGGCAAAGTGCCAAATATCACCCAAAGCTCTCATGTCCGTTTTTTTTTATACCCCCTCCTTTATTTTTATTTATTGATTTTTGTGCAAACATCAAAAATTATTGTGGTTCACAGGAGGCTTTTTTGACCAGCCTTAAATTTCTGACTCACAGGATTGATCAGATTTTCAGACAGTATTTAACCAGGTGCTTTGTCCTGTATGTTGTTCTGTCTGTCTGTCTTAGCTCCCTGTCTTAAATGTATATGCCATCTGTCTTCATAAAGCACAGAGATGCCTTGATAAGATGTTCCTGATTTTAGTACTGGGTCCTCTCCCTTGCCCCCTGCCTTCTCTGCCCTTTGGAACAGCCTCTCTGCTTTGTGTATAAATGAATGATGCCCTGCAGACTACCTAAGTCCATCGGTACTGTGAACCTTTTTTGATAAGCAGGATTTAAGCAGCAGCATCACCATTACCATTGGTTGCTTGCTGCTCTGTCAGTTTCTACTACCTAGCAACCAGCATTCATCACTACACTCCAGCAAAACCCCGAGGGAGTTTTATTCAGTCCAAGTGGAAGAAATTCTGTTTACAACATCCCTGGGAAGCCACTAGTGATAGTGTGTCTGGTGTATTGGGCGTGTGAGGGAAGAAAAATGCCATAATATAAATTGAGGGATAAACAATATTTCTAAGGCATTCGGGATCCTTGAGACTGTTGATTAATCCTTAAATCTCATGTTTATTTTTTTTTGTTAGGAAGACAAATGTCATTTTTATTATTGGCCACATAACATCTATTACTCTATATCCCTAAGTCCTAAAGCATGAACTGCATGTCAGAGATCTTGTACAGCAACGAATTTACCCAGACGTACACATCTGATATTTAGAGATTCAATGATCTTTTTTAATAACACCACACTTAGAAAGTTATAATGACCTATAGCATTGTGGTAAAGGAATTAATATGCTGTCTGGTGCTGCTGTTATTGACTGCAGTGTTGTACAGAATTTGTCATGGATTTTTGACCGCTGAAAAAGGGACAATGGAATTTAGCCATACCAAGGACTGTACTGGAAACAGACTTCTGCTGCTGAATGTGCCCTGATGTGACCAGGTAGCACTTGGAAGAGGTCCCTGCGTCTCCGCAAGGCATCTAAAGCTTAGAAAAGAACTGTGGCTGGAACTCATTTGGTGCTCCCCACATGAGTCGTCTGCTGTGGACTGGCCAGGAGCCGTGAAACAATTGTAAATACCAACATGTGTGCATGGGTCAACAGCTTCAGCCATCTCACACCCAAGGAAGCCAAGTCCATGACCAACATGGAGCTTCTGAGTAAGGCCCATACCTCCGTGAATTGCCCCTCTTGCGCCTGCAGTAGATCGTGCTGTGAATCATACGAGGCAGTGATATCGGTGTAGTATAGATGTGTGGTAATTTCCCTTACTTCTTCTTTGTTGTTTGAATCCATGAACATTGACTCTCTCTTTTTTTTTTTTTTTTTATAAACCACTTACGTGGTTGTCTTTGTTGTGAAATTTTCAGTGCCTATTTATCAAAACTAACCTATTTTTTTGTCACCTGTATGTTTAGATCTGGAAAATCATTATGACTTTAAAAAAAACTCACCAACGTTATTCATGGTTTAAGTCCTTTGTCATTGTTACCTCAATTATAAATATTACAGAAAATAAAATTCTGGCGATGAGAGTATTTTTTTATTAAATGATCGAGGAGTAATGTCAGTATATAGTAGAGTATTAATCAAATTATATCCTAAAATGTATATTTTGCATAAAAGAGATATTCTTCAATCAATTACTTTTTTGTGAGTTTTGTGGCAAACAAAGCTTGAACTTGTCTTTAAAATTGTTGTAGTTGAAACTGTGTTAAGAATTCTTCATCTTGCTTAATCAATATTTCCAGAATTGATTAGTTCCCCTGGGATTCTGAATATAACATATAACCTAATTATGAACCCCTGTATTGTGGAACTTTTGTGAACATTTCAAGGTGCATGCACAACCTTGGCGATAACAGATGAATATGTAACTAACTGAAATGAAGAATAAAAGGCAAATAAGCTGGGGATAAACTTGAATCCTATCTGATTAAATTATTCATATTCTTTCCTTGGCTCTTCTCTTTGTTTCGGAATTTTCAAAAGGCTGTACTATTTTTATGTTTCACGGTACCAAACCAGCCGGTTACACACAATACAAAGAATTTGGGATGACAGGATTTATACACATACATAAGTCTCACTTTCATTCAAGTCTTGGGCATGTAGCCTTTTCTAAGTGCTTTGCCTGCCTAAATTTCTCTTATAATTCTGAGATGGAAAATTATTAATTATTTTGCTCTCCAATATTTGTATGTCTCTTTATGACTGATACTGAATTTTCACTTATACTTTCTGACTTAATCATCACAGCAGTTCTGGAAGTAAATATGTTTTCTTTTCCTTTTATTGATGGTGAACTAAGGATCAGAGAGGCAGAATGGTTTACTTTTATTTTTGCTACAGATATTCTTCTCTGCCATAATTTCTTATGGTTTTAATATTATCCAAGCCTCTTGTTGTAAATGCCTTATATTCTAAGGACGGCTTCAGTCTCACTTTTGGGTAATGGACCTCTGTTTTGGCAGCACACCACATATAACTAACATTCCATTATATTGTGGGGTTATGCATAAATTTATCCTGTAAAATCTATAAAACTATCAGGATTAGGGGAAGGATAAAATGAAAAAGAGAAATGAGGTCGGCAAATCCAACACTTTCCTATTATGCACCAATAGAATCTTTCCTACATCTAAAAATGCTCAGTGTTGATTATTAAGAGTCTCTTAGGAAACTGAGTTCATAAAAGGGAATACATCTAGGTATAATTACTGATAAAATGTTTTTAACGATGGTGTCAGAATATAAGATTTACTATAAAGAGGAAAAATGTACAAGAAGGGGGAAAGAATGCATTTTAATAGATGATAATTGCCATCAAATTCTGATTTAAAAAATCAAGATTAAAAAGTCATGAATGAAAAGTGAAGATACTCATTTTATCTTTGAAATAAATCACAAAACAGACTAATGGAATAGCAATAGTGAACTTATCCTGGAAAGAGACAATGAATATGTTAAAAGGCTATATTACAAAGCAGTGGCTCTGGAGGGTTTATAGCGTGCTTGAAGACATTTAGAGCTAAATGAATCTATTAAAATATTGAAATCCCTAGCAGTTTATGATGATTAAAATATGCAGCTTAAAATTTTTCCTTACTGACAAAAAATTGTCTCCCTTCCAGTTTCCCCTTCCAAAGTTCAATTAATTGTTTAAATTCTTGAACACTATTAAACTATAGATATATGTTAATTTTCTCTAACATGGATTCAGTATCATTAATATTGATCCTAAATTTAATAATTTCCTGTTCTCCCTTAATCTAACTCTGTTTCAAAAATATATTTTTCATTGTTGTCTAAAAATTAAATAGTAGTATTACTTGATTTTTTTCTTTAATTATCATACAGTCATTCAAAGTGATGGACCACTGAATATGTATTTTGTTTTATAACCTTGTTTCAAACTTTATCCCCAGGCTTCTTCAGCTTAATTAGCTGCAAAGAATGACTTGTGTATAAACAAAAACTGAAAAGAGCTGCAGTGTCCAAGGGGCTTGGGTGTAAAAATATTAGAGATCTAGATTTTATCAGATCCATGAACAAAATTTTAAAAAGCAGTCATCATATAAAATAGCAGCTCCCAGTAACTTCTTCAAGTTTTATCTTCTTCAGAAGTTGACTCAATTCAGCTTGCCTCATTCTTGGAAGCTTCATCAAAAATCTCCACAAGATGTGGAACTTTATCATCCTCCTCCTCTCCGGTAGCAAGTGGGGCTTTTCCATCCACAGTTTGTGTGGGCAGAGCTTCAGCCAGTCTTCTCAAACTAGTCAGACTGTCTGCACCAACTTGGTTTAAGACCCTGCCTTTCTGGGGCACCTGGGTGGCTCAGTGGGTTAAGGCCTCTGCCTTCGGCTCAGTACATGATCCCAGGGTCCTGGAATCGAACCCCGCATCGGGCTCTCTGCTCAGCGGGGAGCCTGCTTCCCTTCCTCTCTCTCTGCCTGCCTCTCTGCCTACTTGTGATCTCTGTCTGTCAAATAAATAAAAATCTAAAAAAAAAAAAAATTTAAAAAGACCCTGCCTTTCTGTCAGCAGCTCTGTCTCAGCATGACCTGTAATGGTGAACGTGTTGGCTGCCAGTGATGCCTGAACTTTGGGGTTTTTAAAGTGAATCATTGTTCCTTGGTTTGTGAACATATTCATTTCTTCAATACTAGAGATATTGTTTACCCCTAACTTTTTAAAGGAGCACTGAAGTTTTTTATCATCTGCTGTAGCCGTTCTATGAACTGCCTTCTTCTTTCTGCACGCTGTTCCTTTCCCACCAATGCGCACTTGTGCTGGCAGTTTGGCAAGCTTCTCCTGGTTTATGATAGTTTCTTTCATCTTGTTGGGGGCAGAAATGGGACCGTGTGGGGGACTAGGGTTGGTACTCAGGGGAGATCTCAGGTGGACCAGCTGAGATTAGGTGCACGCACGGGGACACAAGTGGCTGAATATGCAATATTTTTTTAAAAAAAGATTTATTTATTTGAGAGAAAGAAAGAGACAGCACCTGTGCATGGAGTGAGGGGGAGGGGAAGCAGGAGACAGAGAGAGAAAATCTCTGGCAGACTTCCCACTGAGCACAGAGCCCAATGTAGGGTTCATCATGGGACTCCATCCCACCACCACCAGACCATGACACAAGCAGAGATCAAGAGTGGGAGGCTTAATTGACTGAGCCACCCGGGTGCCTCTGAATATGCGTTTTGAACAGCAAGATATTCAGAGACTATGGAAACCTCATCTAGAATCCCAATTATTATTAGAATTAATAAACTAATTTTATTAAAAAAACAGGTTATGTTTTAGAGCAGTTTAAGTCCACAGCAAAATTGAGCAGAAAGTAGAGAGCGTTCCCATTTTCCCCTTTTTCCCACACAAGCACACCTTCCCCTACTGTGCCCCACCCCCTAGTCATATTTGCTGCAATCTGTGAACCTACAAAGACATCATTACCACCCAAAGTCCTTAGTTTACATAAGGGTTCACTCTTGGTGTTACATGTTCTCTAGATTTGTTAAGCGTGTAATGACATTGTATCTGCAACTGTAGTATCATAAAGGGTAGTTTCACAGCCCTAAAAATCCTTTGTACTCATCCCTTCTTTCCCCTTAGCCCTTGGCAGCCAATGACCTTCAACTGTCTCCTTAGTTTTGCTTTCCCAGAACATCAGGTAGTTGGGATCATACTGTATGAACTCTTTTCAGATTGAAAAGTTTCACTTAGTAATACGCATTTAAGTTTTCTCCTTGCCTTTTCATGGCCTGGTAGTTCATTTCTTTTTAGTGCTGAATAATATCCCATTTTTGAATGGATATTCCATTTTTGAATGTGTCCCAGTTTATCCAGTCACCTACTGAAAGACATCTTGGTTGCTTCCAAGTTCTGACAATCATAAATAAATCATAAATAAATAAACATCTGTGTGAGGTTTTTTGTAGATAGAAGTTTGCGATTCATTGGCTAAACACCAAGAGCCCAATTGCTAGGTAATATGGTAAGAGTATGTTAGTTTCCAGTCATTTTTTTCATTTCGTCCTCTTACATTGTCAGCAAAATTACAGTTCTAACACATCTTTTCAATACTAATCATGTGCACTGCATGGATTACTTATAAATTTGCTGTTTCATTTCCAGATGTAAATATATTGGTTGATTATTCACTAGCAGATTCTTTCTCCTTAAAAATACATTGGGGGGGGCACTCCTGGGTGGCTCAGTCCATTAAGCTTCTGCCTTCAGTTCAGGTCATGATGCCAGGGTCCTGGGATCCAGCCCTGCATCAGTCTCCCTGCTCCATGGGGAGCCTGCTACTTCCTCTCCCTCCCTCCCTCCCTCCTCCCTCCCTGCTCATTCTCTCTCTCTCTCTTGCTCACTCTCTCTCTCAAATAAATAAATAAAATCTTTTAAAAAACAGCTTCTAAATAAAAATACAGGAAAAGTTTCTATAAAATAAAAAAAGAAAAAGTTAATTATAATTCCATAATTTTCTACTCCACAAACTGAATGGTTTCATGTTGTCAATTTGCTTTTCTTCCTTTTGTGATTCTCATTTTACAATTTTAGCATACTGTGAGAGTTTGTGTATATACATGTGTATTTAACCTATCATTTCAGTCATGCTTCAGCTTGGTCTTTTAACTTTCTTGCCTCAGTCTGTTCTTCAGTGTAGATGGTGTTCTAACTCTGCATATGCTCAAGGAAGAACCCTAGGGCCCCACGATGGACACATGTCACCTTTACCATTGAAGAACTCCCATCTAGTGTGTTGGTCCATTTCTGGCTCTGTATCAGAAAAACTGTTGGTTCCCTTTAAAACTATACATGGCTATGCTCAGTTCTAAACCTCTTGAAATTATCTCTGGGGATGAGGCCTGGACATATATGCCATTTTAAAAAGTAAAGTCTTATGCATATATATTATGAGCAAATAAAACAAAACAAAGAACAAACATTCCACAGGTGTTGCTTCTGTCTCATATGGCCTAATAATGCAAGATAGATATTTGAAATTACTACAACAGAATAGCATTTTTTCCTAAACATTTTGCACATAGGTATATTGTTTTAGCAATTAGAATGTGAAAAAGGATGCATAATATCCCATCTGGTTAATGTTCTATATATATTCATTCCCCTTAGCTATTCATGATTTCTTTCTTTTTCCTACTTTCTATTATGATTCAAGAAGCATTGACCATTTTGCGTATATACATTTTTTATTTTATTTTTTGACAGGGAGGGTTTTTCTCAAAAATTATTCCCAAAATGGAATTATTGGTTTAAAGAGCATGAAAAGTTTTATGACCATACTTTAAAAACCACTTTCCCATAGTCATATAATGTTATATTTCATCAGCAACAAATGAAACTGACATATAAGGACAATTTTCTTAGCTACATTACAATTCAAAAAAATATTCTTTTGCTTAGGGAAATTTTATGTATATGATTTAATTAGCATGAGCTGAACAGTTATAGATTTTATAAATATCATGTCTCTACTTACCTTCCAGTCATATACTAGCAGGCCAGGCAAGTATCTTTATTAGGAAATTATTTTTTTCATTTTTGAGCCAGATTTCAAATTTGGAATAAAATTTGATGTATTACCGTTTGTAAAATAGTGCACATTTATCGTAAACCCATAGAACTTACATCTTCATATTTCAGTATAGTTCTCATAGTAAAACAGATGAGATAAGGATATTCCACATAATTCAAAATTAAGTAACTTTTTTAGGGGGGAATGAATTTTTCTATAAGCCAAGAAGAGTTGTCACAGCAAAATGATTTAAATACTTTGGAATTAAGTGAAATTTTCACATTTTTATTAGGGGTAAATAGTAACATGAAATGACCAAAAATAACCACCATATTGAAAGGATTCTTAATTTAATTTGAATGTGACAGTTCCTGAAATCTTTCTTTAACCAATGGTCTCAGGGTTACATAACTAAAAGGTTACATAAAACCAAATCTTTCTTAATGGCCCAAAGAAGCTATATTAAGATGTGCTTAATTTGCTGATCAAACCAAACCAACCAAACCAAAACAAAACCTGTAACTTCACTGCAAAGGATTCAGCATGAAGCAGTAACTAAGGAGTTACTGTGTACACATATGTATTTTTCTTGAGAGCTCACATTTGTCAGTAATGGTTTCTCTGGAAACAAGGGCACTAGTTTAAATGTTCTACATGATCTTCCTTCTTGTTGCAGTCACTGTTCCTTCTCACTTTGGGTGCTGGCAAGAAGCTTAAAAAAATTATAGGAATTCTGGAAGGATGCTGGTAGAAATTTCCAGAATCTAAGATAGTTAATGATTAAAAAACACACTCACACACAGCTGGATATGCAAAGAGAAAGAAGAGGCATAAGATGAAGTAGCAAATACTGAATATGGCCTGAAGCCAAGGTCATTTAGTGTGAAATAACCAAAAAGACAAGTCAAAGATAAAGAAATAATTCTATAATTCTGCTTCATAAACCATTTTGGAATAAGTTCTTCCCAAAAGAGCGAGACATTCTTTTCAATGGAGACCTTGAAAGGTTTGCATTGCATAACGAGGAGTTAGAGGAGACCACCAATTTTCACATTCTCTAGCAAAGAATAGCAACGTTCTCTTAAGATGTCCTCTTTTTATTTTCTTCTTTTAGTTTTGACCAAAAAATTAAATTCTTCCTTTACATTAATATTAAGGTCAAACGCTTTCAGAATCAACTAATGACTGTCAAAATATAAAATATTACTGGCTTTATTTTTTTATTTATATAATACATATTCGTACAGGCTTTTGGTCTGATTTATGCAAGAGCAAAATATAATGACAAAATACTACTGAGAACGTATTGCTTTTTAATGTGCAACTTCTTAATGATACAAATGATATTCCTGGGGCAAATATCATTATAAGGTTTATTTTTCAAATTTAAAGTTTTTAAGATTTAGATCTATTGGGGGTCCTGGGTGGCTCAGTAGGTTAAGCCTCTGCCTTCGACTCAGATCATGATCCCAGGATCCTGGGATCGAACCCCGCATAGGGCTCTCTGCTCAGCAGGGAGCCTGCTTCCCTTCCTCTCTCTCTGCCTGCCTCTCTGACTACTTGTGATCTCTGTCTGTCAAATAAATAAATAGAATCTTAAAAAAAAGATTTAGATCTATCTACTTCTATTTTTGGAATGGATAATTCTATGCAGAAAAATGATTACATTAAGTGCCAAAAATATTAAAATGGAAGAAGACTGTCTTTTAATAACAGCTTTTCTTGCTCTCAAATGTCCATGTATTGACATTTGGTTTATTGGACATAAAGGAAAAGAACACACGGAATTAATACTTACAAAACATTGTCTGACATATGTGGTCCACTAGAGAGCCAGAGGCAGAAATTTCCGTTGCCTCAACCATCAAAAAATCCTTTACATAACCATGTCTCATTAAATTGAAATTGTTTCTCATGTTAAATATCAAGTTATGTATTGCCAAAAAACATTGAATTACCAGCTGGTAGTTATGACCAAGATGTCTTAACTTTGTCCTCAGCTTGACTAAACTTTAGACTTATTTTTTCTTGACTGAGGCCCCTGGTCTTCCTTTTCTTAGGGCATTTATGTTGGAAAACTTGACGTTGTAAGTTATTTCTCTATCCCTTGGAAGTATAATTTTCTTCTAACTCCTGCCAGTTACAACCTAAGTATGTCTTGTCTCAAGTGCCTGAGAGCCATTTCTTTAAAATATAATAATTATGAAAGTGCCCCTATCCACCAGTGTCTGTAGGAGGATAGGAGCCTAACTTCCCATAAATGCCAGTTAGCAAGCACAGATGGCCTAACCACACT